TATTATATATGGTATCAGAGCTATAAAGTTTTGGTTCTTCTTTTATCACCACTTGCTTATTAAGTTGGATTTTCATATCTATCTGAAACTTTGTTGTTGGTTCTCTTCTCCTGCAGATTAGATTGTTTATTCTCAATTCTCACGCCATTTTTGAGGTATTTTATTGAGTTGTAATTTTGATCGGGAATCTATTTCTTCATATTTTTAGACTTTTTCAGTAGTGTGAGTTCTATTGATTCTATGGCAAGTTTTGAAAGAACTATGACTCATCTTGCTACTGCAATGGTTGCCAAATAGGTGATAGACCAATCTATTGTTAACCCTAAATCTCTAAAACAGGTGATATTAAATATTCTTAATGCTCATATTGCCTTATTAGCTACTCTAGATACTAAACCTTGGTATTTCGATTCTGGTTGTTACAATCACATGTCTTTAACTATTGCTTATTTTTCTTTAATGTCACCAAATAATTCCTTTTTTGACATTTATTCTGCCGATGGCTCTCCTATAAATGTTAGTCACATCGACAATATTTCTACAAATTCATTAACTTTACCAAACGCTTTATGGGTTCCAAAACTTAGTTATAATCTCTAATCTATTGGTCAGTTATGTAATCTTGGTCTTGAAATAACTTTTTCTACTCATGGTTGTCGTGTGCAGGACCCACATACGAGACAACTTCTTGGAATTGGTCGCAAGGTGGGGCGTCCGTTTGAGCTCAATTATCTACATATACCTAATCATAAAATGGATACACCATCATTTCCAAATGACCGATTCATTCAAACCCAATTATGTACTGCTGAATTAGAGTCTTTGCAAATTCCATATCAACAAATCTTCCAAGCTTGTGTTGCTAGTAATATTTCTCCTCTTCATTTATGGCACTAACGACTCGGACACACCTCAATTGGTAAATTTCGTCCTCTTATTTCTCGTGATTTATTAGGATTTGTTCCTAATGAATCTTTGCATTGTATGTCATGTCAATCTACAAAACAACTAGCTTTATCGTTTACTAGTAATCATTCTCTTTTCATTGCTTCTTTTGATCTTGTGCATTTTGATATTTGGGGTCCATCCTCGACATCTACCATGGGGGGTTCTAGGTATTTTGTGTTATTTATTGATGATCATACTCGTTTTACCTAAATATATCTTATGAAAAATCGCTCTGAGTTGTCACAAATTTATATTGATTTTTCTATAATCACTACTAGAAACACCTCTAATTCAGACCGAAAAATCGGTATGAAAATATGAAAAATCGGTCTGAAAATAAATATTCAAACCGTTATTAATCTAGATAGTTAGTCTGAAAAAACTGAGTCTGAATAACTTTATATTCAGACCAACAGAATATAGGTCTAAATATAATATATTTTCAGACCAAAGTTGGTTTGAATAATGGTTGAAATTTTAACCATGTCATTGCTTCAACCAGACCAAAAACGGTTTGAATATACAAACAATTTCAGATCGACAACGATTTGAAAAATAGTGGCCTTATCTACGAAACCGAAAAGATATTATCTTAATTTAGATATACTTTGAAAACTTTTTCAGACCAAAAATGGTCTGAAATTTGAGGGCTTATTTAAAGAAACAAAAAACTTCAATCCTTTAATGTCAATACGTTGAAACTATTTTCATACCAACATTAGTCTAAAATTTGAGGACTTATTTAGAAAAATTAAAATGTTTAATCCTTATATGTCATTGGACAGAAACTTTTTTACAAAGTTATCCAGACCAACTACGGTCTGGAATATAATTACACAACAGTAAAAAAAAAAAAAAA